AGATTTACGTTTCCCAATGAGATGAGTATAAGAAAAGTAATTGGTAGTCCAAACTTTTAAACAAACCTAGACAGCTGTTAATTAGTTTTGCATCAGTGTATGTTTTATACCAGAGTTAAAATAATAAACTTAAACATGTTCAAGTAATCCTTTACTTTCACTTTTCTGGGTTTTGTAATATATTGCCTGGAAATCAATGTAGTCTGGAAATGTTAAACAATTAGAAATAAAAATATGCTTCCCAAGATTGTGTATACAGTACATACCAGATTCTACTGAGTACTGTAAATACCCACAGGGCAAAGAGTTGGTGTTAAGCCCAACGTGGGCGGTGAGTTCAGAGAAAAGCTGAGTAACTCCTGTATTGATACTGTATGTGATAAACTGAGTGGTTACAAGAACTCAGTCTGTTTAGCCTTGCACAGAAAAGGCTTTGTAAACAGTCGGTCAAGTAGAAAGCAAGGACCATAAGAAATCAAGATACAGTACACTTAATGTATGAGCAAAAACAGTTCAAGGTTTTTCTTGGTGTTACACACACCCTGTACTACTAATTTTTATAACGTTGTGTACAATTATGGTCACAAAATTAATATTGCTGTCCTCCAGCCAGGTATACCACAGACTATAGGAATTTCTGTCACATAATAAAATGATTGGATCTTTTTAGTCTCGAACACAGCAGAGTGTGGAAAGAACGGATTTAACACCTGAAATCCTCAGAAGTATCGACAAATCGATAAAACATGAACCAGGCACAAGTGGAAACAACAGGGAAGAAGATTTTAAACTGAGCTTCTTTGCACAAAGGGTTCTGGTGTCTGGTACAAGCTGTCCAGGCATGTTGTTTAAACTGGCTTCATTTTAAAAAGGACTGGATGACATCAATTAGTTACTAGCATCAAAACAAGCTAGATAAGCTGAATGTTGTTTTTTTTTGTAAACTTTATTATGTTCTTTTTCCCTTGCTCATCTTGTGGTCTTATGGCATTTTGTATCTCTGCTGGAAGTAGGCCAGTAGCTGGCTTTCTTCCACGAGGGTGTGGAACAGTCATTTTGCACCATGGCCCCAAACAGGCTGGTCCAGAGCTTGAAACCAACATGGTGGTTACAATGATTTAAAATTATCATTCAAAATTAGAATTGTCCTTCAGATACTTAGAAAATCTATAGAACTATCATGATCTTTATGTGATGATATGCTGATAGTTGATGTTGATGGGCAAAATGTTTTTAAAGAGCAAAATGTATAGTAGTGTCCTGTTTCAATACAATAATGAGCCCCCCTGCTTTTGTAGTTTGCTGTGATTATGAAAATCATCCCCTGTAACCACTTATCTTGGACATCTGACAAACAATACACAGTGTTGATTATCTTATTTTATTTAATGATTCCTATAAGCCATTCATGTGATTCACTTAAAGTAATAAGAGAGAAGTAAATCCGCATGCACAGTAAAATGGACAGGATTTGGCAGAGGCTTGGTGCTGGTCATTTTCATGAATCAGATGGAATCTTGGACAAGACACCCTATAGTGTCGTAGTCAATCGCCTGTCCCTTCTGGGGAAACACTGGACAGAAGTTTGTCTTCCTGAACCTAATGACTTGTGCAGCTCGGGCAGTTGTGAGGGACATTTCTTCATCTGTCTTGGCTTTGCATATCAAATGGCATTCTTTACTGTGCAGGTAGAGATTGAATGTAGTACATTTAGGGTCTCTTGTTTCTTTGAAATACAGTACCAGTCAATTATACACCAGCAGAATGATAGTAGATGAGTGTTGTGCTCTATGCTAGTTAAGGCTTGCAAGTTTTGCCAATGTTGTTAACAAGGAGTTCTCTTTCTCAGTGATATGAAACATATCACAATTCAGCATGCTGGAACAATAGCACTTTCAATGATGTTTTGTAAAAAGCAATTGCTCTGTCAAAATAATTCCCATGGAGCACAAAGGACAGTCTCTCTTCACATCAGTGATGCAAAAAATTTAGTAAGGGGTCAGGTCTGAGGTGATGCTGGACCTTATGAGTGATCTGCAAAAAAATAGGTGCCTTTCATTTTGTTTATGTTTGTTTTGTTAAATTATTTTGTGTTAGTAATAAGTGAACTGTTAACACATGCATATTAGCTGGGGGTTGCAAGGCTTTTAAGCCTATTTGCGACTCCAATAATTATGAACATCCTGGAGAATCTGTTTTGAACTTGACAATTGTTTTATTAAGATGATGAAATTGCTGACAAAAAATATTAGTAGTGAGAGGAACACTGATTGATTGGACTTGTTTTTCTTATGTTCAAGCTGTCAGATTTGCTCTGAAATCTTACTTCTGTTGTTGTCATTTGGAATGAGACCCCAGTCTTCAGCTTCAGGTTCTATAATTATTAAGACACGGATCTGGAAAGGACTCAGGCTCAATTAAAGTCATTGTAAAAGCCTACTGATGGATTAGAGTCACAGGTATGCTGGGTAAGGTGGCTGTGGTCAATAACAATAAGTTCTGTACATCATTTGTAGAATTCTCTCATTAAAGGCTAAAACTGTCTAATTGCTGAGCAAAAAGACAGCTGAATGTACATTTATAGCACTTTTAATTACCTGTGGCTGTTCATAAGAAAAAGCAGCAGGAATCATGCTGATACCTGAAGAGGACACTAGGACACTGCTTGTAGCGTGTTAATGGTTTCCTTTTTGAGTTGTGCTGCACTTAAAACTCTAGATCAGCAGTCTGTCACATTATATGTATATTTATATAAGGACGGGGCTTGTACTGGCACACACTGCCATGATTCTTTTGTAATTGATTTGAAATGTATAAAGATCATCCTTTCCCTTCTCATTAATAACAGTGCCCCCAGAGAAGTGCGAACAATATAGCAATTAAACCTGTTGATGAAAGCAGGGCAAGGGAAGAAACTGGTGCTCTCTGGGTGCTTGGAAAACCCTGTCTCATCTATAGAGATGAAATAAAGATGCAGGGGAATGAAACTGAATATCAGTGAAAGGAAGTGGTTGCAGGTGGGATAGAAGAACATGTGGTTTTACTTCTAAAACATTACAGAATTGATAGTGCCCCCTGGGAAAAAGTGTTGTAGAAAATGCATTGCTGTCACCAGCATTGTAAAACAACAATTAAGAAGAGAAATAGGATTCTGGGGTATTTTAGTTAGAGAATACACTAGCAATGATGGAGCTGAACAATGTCTTACATAATTGGTTATAAAAATGGCCCTATAATTACAGAGAAAATGGGACTGTATTTTTTCTGTGGAGACATTGTGAGAGCTAACTATGAGCAAGGCTCTCAAAATCTTGATCACTACAAAGCAAAGTGGTCACTCAGATGAATAATTCAGAATAATTGCCAGATTGAAAGGTAAAACGATGGCTTGTGTGCTCCAGCTGCAGTAGTGTTCTTCGCCCCAGGAATGACGTTACAGCACCTCCTCACAGTTTTACACAGCCGCGGCTTTATCACAACATACTCCATACCCACCTCACTTCATCAGAGTTGGTAAGCCTGAGAGGACTAGCTGATGTGTGCTTTAAAGCACCGATGCACACATTGGCACATCCCCCAGGCTGGCAGGCATGGGTAGGCCAGGTGTAAGAAGCTACCAAAGCCAGTGTGTGAACCATAATACCAGCAGACCTGATGATGTTGAGCTGTAAGCTGTCCTGCTTGAACAGATTCCATACAGGAAACCTACATTCCACAGCTATTTCCCGCCTCCTGGCTGCCCTTCTGGGAGCTAGTGATGTATGTCCTCCTGCAGGTTTTGTGTTGACATGTTTCAAGTTGTGCCAGTATACTTGATTTCAGTTCCTGCACTGCCATTGACTATCCCTGCCTCTTATTACAAATGTGGGTAAGCACTTTCCTTCTTTCCTTCTCTCGGTAAAAGCACAGACAGTAATGTCGCTGACTTGGATCATTGCTTTCAACGCAACTGTGTGGGTGGTCTGTTTCAGTGTGCCTTGCGATGGGAGGTGTATGTACAGTATAGTACTTGCACAGAGAGGCTAGGGAATGACACAAATATTGTGCATTTGTCTTCACTGCGATCCCAATGTAAATATTTCTATATATTGCTAGATGGAGAATTGGTAAGAGATAGAGACTACACCTGGTATTGGGGTAATTATTATTAGTAGCTTCTCAGGTATCTGGTTCATTTTCTGATTTTTTAATCAACAGTCAAGAATAATTAGTCTTGATAAATTTTAAAGTAGTAAACAATGGAGACAGTTGTAAACAGACATTGTTCAGGACTGGCTAGACATCTTGCAAATACAATTTAATATTAATATATAACACACTAATTACAATTGTGTAGTGACACAAAATGAAACTGTCTACTAAATTTGAAACATCCCATGAAAAGGATTTAAGAGTAAAGACAATGTGGGAAAGTAAAAAAGAATATCTGGCTCTGTAGGGAGACTCACGTGAACAGGTGTTTACTGAACAAGAATGTTGTTACATTGGATCATCGTTGTTAAGCCCCATCCTTCGAGGTTCCCTGCCCTCCAGTTGATGCTCTTTGAGGTCCCCTGCCCTCCAGTCGATCCCCTTCGAGGTCCCCTGCCCTCCAGTCGATCCCCTTCGAGGTCCCCTGCCCTCCAGTCGATGCTCTTCGAGGTCCCCTGTCCTTCAGTCGATGCTCTTCGAGGTCTCCTGTCCTTCAGTCGATGCTCTTCGAGTTCCCCTGCCCTCCAGTCGATGCTCTTCGAGGTCCCCTGTCCTTCAGTCGATGCTCTTCGAGGTCCCCTGTCCTTCAGTCGATGCTCTTCGAGGTCCCTTGTCCTTCAGTCGATGCTCTTCGAGGTCCCCTGTCCTCCAGTCTATGCTCTTTGAGGTCCCCTGTGTCAGAGTGTGGCAGTGAGCGAGCCTGCCCATCGTTCACCTGAGCCAGGGAAGCTGCTGGGCAGCGAGTAGACACAGCACACAGCACACCTGAGTGCGGGAGAGAGTGACCCCCCTTGTTTCCTGCCCCTCAGGAAGCGGCAGCTGCAGTTTCTGCTGGAGGGGCGCGGGCGGCGGGCGGGCCTGAGCCCGGAGGAGTTGCGGGACAACGGCAAGGCGCTGGGCGAGGGGCTGAGCAGGGCCCTCTTCAACTACCCCAGCCGGGACACGGGGGCCGACAGCACTGAGGTAAGGAGGGAGCGTCCAGGACAGGATCCAAGTAGGAAAGGTGGCTCTTTCACAGCTGGTTCTTGGACGTGCTGGTATTGCTGATGTCCTTGAGTTCTCAGGCCCAAACCTCATCTCCTCTTACTCATCCAAGCCACAGCACTGCTCTCAGATGCACAGCAGTTTGTTGTAAACACCTGTGCAATACATACTGTACTGTACTTCCTCTTGTCTGTAATGAGAATCCTGCACCACACTACAAGAACGAGCTGTTGTTTTTGTACAGCAAGTCAGTGAAAACCCTTCGCTCCCCTAAAAATCAATAGGGAATAAGCAACAATTGATTACTAGGTACAATGTACTAATTCCCAGTGGTTGAAATGCTTAATTCATGCAAATTTATCATTTACCAATTTGAGTGTCTAATTGTGATATATATCATTTTGTTTCTCATGGCATAGTTTTATATCATTTATATAGGATTTATTCAGCTAGACCCCTGCCCATTTAAAAGGAGATCTTCTGACGTCAGTGCCTCCAACACAAAGCCCATTTACAAGGTCCTGATCAATGTTCAGTACTTTTTCTCCTCTTCTGAGCTCAGTGCTGCACCGAACCTGCACCTTTCAAAACAGATGTTGGAAGTATCTGGCATCATTTATCTATAAATGCAACTGTTGTGCAACAAAAGACAATGGAGCACGATACTTTACAATAAATGGCAACGCCCGACTATACTAAAAAAGGACTCCCCAAAACGTCTAAAACTTGGAATCCCCAAGTGCCTTCTGTCTAACATCTGCCCAAATAACCATGTCAGAAACTGCAGTGTTCTTGTCAGCAGGATGAAAAGGAGTGACCGGAGGTAAAGTCAGCTGAGGATTCGATGTACAACATCAATAAAATATGTTTCAATAAAAACACGCAGTGCCTGATTTTCCAGAGTTAGGAAGAATACTTGTGAGTAAGGGCTATTTTGAATGCAGTTACTTGAAATTTTCTAAAATAACACAGTTTAGATACTGCATCACAAAGTAAAGCAAATACTGTATATAAACACATACAATAAAATAAACAAGCATACTGTTATTTCTGAAGAAATAGAAAGATTAATTTGGTTTCAAGGATAATTACTGTATTATGATTGTTGAAACAATACACAGCTCCATTAGAAATCTCTATACAGAATGCCTTTGATTTCACATGACATTGAGTATTAAATATATTGATCCCAAATATCTAGGTGTCCATTTAGCAATGTAACATAAAGCAATCAGAAATGTAATATAATTTACTAATGCTAATTCTAAGTTAATTAAAAGGCCCTTAATTATGATTTTTTCAATTCTTACATTCACAGGCTCCAAGCTATCTAAAAATAGACTACACCAATAACAATAATGTAAAAAGCAAACTAGCTAGCCACTGCATCTCTGCCAAACATAGAAAAATATAAAACCTGTAACATGAGCCAGCACATTTAACTTCCATATTAGTTATTGAATGTGCTTAAGGGAATTTATATACTGTCACCAGGCAAAGATACAGTAGCTTACCTGTAATATGCCTGATGTATTTGCAGCAACAAGACTATACTGCATGGTGATAGATCCTCTTTAGCCATCTGTTTCTGATTATAAAGAAATTATCAACCCATTCTTTGGGTTTTGGAATATTCTATGTGATGTAGAAAATTATGCATCGCTTTTTTAAATAAATGGAAATTGCATGGCAGTTTTCTTTAAAGAACCACAAATAAAGTCACTACCATAAACATCAGCTCTCGCCCTTTCCAGCACTGATTTAAGTTCTTTATTAAGGGTAATAAGCACTCTCCCTCCTGCTGTCACACACCCTAAGAGGCTCCAAGGTCCAATGTCCTTTCCTTCTTTTTTTCTTTCTTTTCTTTTCGTGTCATAAGTTCTGTAACTCTTTGTGCATATATAGTACTGGGACAATGAAGTCAAAATTTCTATTTTTTCTGTGTCCTCAAGCGACTCAGATTTGAGATGAAAAAATGAATGTGAAGCAAAAGTACAGAATGTCACCTGTTCTCTGCTCATACATGCTTTAACACTTTAGAACGATAGATACCATTATTGTGTTCCATCCCTCCATTTCAGTTGTGTATAAGTATTGGGACAAATTGATTTAATGTAAAGTAGTATAGGACTTAGTATTGGTTACAAATCCCTTGCATGCAATAACTGCAGCAAGCCTGAGATGCTTGGACATCACCAAGCTCTCCGTTTGCTCCGTTGAGAGTTCCCGTTTGGAGTCGGGGAGTCTCCAGTCTCCATTTCAGTTAGTGACATCCATGTTTAATTGGATTTAAATCAGGAAATGAGCTTGGCCAGTCTAAGACTTTACATTTTTTACCCTGGTAAAGTCCTTGGTTGCAGTGCGCATTGCCTTGTGGCATGAGGAAGCGCGGGCCAATGGGCCTGGAGTTATTGTCTTGTACACAGGCAGACAAGTGCCCTTCTGAAGTCATTCTGCTGCTGTCATCGGTTACATCATCAATAAAGATGACTGAGCCAGTTCCAGAGGAGGCCATGCAGGCCCACGCCATGACACTGCCTTAGTGCTTTAGGTCATCCATAGTTCCTTCTTTTCTCCACACTTTCACCTCACCATCACTCTGATAGAGGTTTGTGTTTGTCTCATTTGTCCATAACACTTTGTTCCACACCTCTACCGGCTCATCTCTGTACTTTTTTAGCAAATTATAATTGTGGCCTACCTATTTTTGGTGTTGATAAGAGGTTTGCATCTTGTGGTCTAGCCTTTAGAATTCTGTAATTGAAGTCTTCTGGGAACAGATTGTGATACCTTCACCCCTGCACTGTGGAGGTCCTTGGTGATTTCATCAACAGTTGTTTTAAAGTTTTTCTTCATAGCTCTTACAATTTTTCTATCACCAACTGCAGTTATTTTTCTCGGATTACCAGGTTGTTGCCAATTGCTTAGTACACCAGTGGATTCTTTCTCTTTATTTCAAAAGTTATTTCAAATGGTTGATTGTTGCTATGTTTTATTATCTCCAGGAGGCAATGTGCCATGTGGCAGCCAACAAAAACAATACAAATATACAGTACATGCACATGAGAATTATCTGTGGAGTAAGGTTATAGCCACAGATAGCAATGAGAACTTAAACCTGTTTGTTTTTAATTTGGGAAATCTGTTTCTGTGTTCTGAGGGGAGTAACTGGAATTCATTAAACCAAGGAAGGGTGAAGGGTCCTGTAGGGTGGAACATGTCTTACTCTCATAACTGATAGGCGTGGGGCAGAGCCAGAAGATCAGTGCCGATGACTTTCTGACATAGACTTGGTCTGACAAGACTCCCCAGTTTGCTCTTACTCCTCAGATCCTGATTCCCTCACCAGCAGATCAGGGTAAAAGTTCTGCAGGGATGCAGTTTCAATAAAAGGCTGATAAAACACCATCAACAACAAATTATCAACCTCAAAATGTTTAAGCTTCCTTAAGAAAAAAAATGCTGTGCCTTTTTTTGAAAATAGAATCAACATTTGTCTCAAAATGTAACTTTCAGTCCAGAACAGTCCCTAAATATATTTGTCTACCTTCTTCAAAGTTAATCCCCTGATGCAGGTTTGAGTGATCATCTGAGGGTGTTTCCTGAAGTCAACTGGCTCAGAGACATTCAACTTCGAAAGGTTTTGTCTCTAGAGTGGTGATAACACAATCATTTGTCTACAGAACGACAAGTGGGCGACATAATACACATCCTTGAGGGGAAGCAATAGAACAATACAGCTTGATAGACAATCCACTGATGACTCTCACCCTCTGAGTTCTATCAGTAACCCAACTGACAAGATCAAAACCGAAATTAGCCAATAGCTTAGCTGCCAAAAAATGCCCTTTAAGCAAGCTGAAATGAGTCTAATGAGTGTTTGATCCTGTGTCAATGCAACTGGAAGCACCTGGATAAGAACCACCTGACAGCCAGTTGTCCCAATGCTTATGTCCATCTCAACTGGGGAGACTGAAAACAAAAAGTGTTTTAATTCTGAAATTTACACACGTAAACACAGAAATACAAATAAAAGAGGGCATTCGGTTCTTTTACCTTCATATATCTGGATATTCTTATCCTTCAGCTATTCTGTTTGTCTCAAATACAAATACAGCAAAAATAGCTATTTCGACCTTATAGAGGGGACTGTATATCTCTTATATTTATTGAGCATATATTAAGATTAATGGTATATTAAGCAGCATAAGATCAAAGGTTTGAATACTGAACTCAAGTGCCCCACGGACCAGTGATCTTGTACGTGCTTCACAGTGTGCGTACATGTTATTTCACTGGAAATCCTAACCTCTACTTGTTGGTTGAGTGTTGAGTGAACTAGAATGTGATATCATTTGCAGATAGGAATAATCTAAACAAACAATATTTATGACAGTTGATATGTTAGTCAATAGTGTTGATGGAGATAGGGGCATTCCAAAATTTATGACCGTCATTGCAGTCGCCTAGAACTAATGCCAAGTACTGTACAGAAAATCACACCTCTGTTCTCTGTAGCGGAAGTCTCTTCCTCCATTAATTTGTTTGAAATGTGTGAAGGAATGTGAGGGCTTGGCAAGTCACAACACTTAGTTTTAACTTCCCTTTCCCCCTTAGGAAGCCTTTTCCGATGGCCCGGTGAAGACCCAGGTGTGCCGGGAATTCGTGAGCGGTCTGGTGAAACGGGCCGCCGACACCAACCTGAAAGCAGAGTCCCTGCACAAGCTGTGGCCCTCGCTGTTCGTGGAGCTGGTCAGGGACAGCGTGCTGGACATGTGGGGCCGGCCGGCGTACCGCCAAGCGTGCTTGCAGAGGATTTCACAGCCCCAGTGACGCCCTGCATGCTGCTCTCCGGCTGGGCCTCAGCCCCAGCTGCACCACGCCAGGACAGGGGCGCCCCTGCAGCAGGCCTCTGATGTGCTGTTCTTCTGATTAAAGTTTTTTTGTTTCAATAAGCAACATTTTTCACTTTCTACACTGCATTGAAGTTAAATATTGGAGCCCTCTTCTCAATGCAGTGACATTTAAGGAAAACTTTAGCCTCAGTTTCGCCAAGGACTGAAATGGTCTAAATGTCTTTTGGTCTAATAACGAAAAGACATCTCTCTGACCACTAGTCTCCAATTCCAGCTCTGGTTCCTCATAATGGCTTTCATTTGGCTAAAGCCGTCTTGCAAGAACCCAGCGGAAAGCACCCATGAGGTGGCTGGGACTAGAATTTAAGAAATATTAATAAAGATTAGTTTCTGTTGCTTTTGTTTTTCAATGGGAATTCCAGTACAAAGGTTTCGTTTTAGAATAATTCTCTCTACAAAAAAATATCTGAGTTTTAAGCATATACACAAATACATTTTTTTCAGGAATTGATTTTATGTTTTAAATTATTTCTGAAGAGAAGTGGAGGAGGAATAATGTGCCTAGATGCTGAAAGTGATAAAGCAAAACTTTTGAACATAGAGTGTCTTCCCTTTTGGCTTTGCTTGTATGGTCTGACTTCCTTTTCGGGTCATCTGTCATATCAGCATGGTTTATCCTGTTACAGTATAAACCCGTTAATGATAAAAGTAAATGTCAGAGAGATTTGCTGGGTAAACGTTTGATAATCTTGTGGTGATTGTATATCTTAGGCTGTTAAAAATTGGGGAAAAAAATCTTTTCAACCTATTTTTCTCATAACTCTAAATATAAAACAAATAAAAAAAATATCTTTATCTTTAGTATAACATACTGACCATTGTAATGATGCACACTTCCCCATGGCTGTACTGTATGTACTGCACAGAAATAACCTGTGGTGAATAAAGCAACCTTAGAGACACAACAGTGTTTTGCTTAAGATTTTCTTGGAAATTTTAAGCATATTTTTAAGAAACCATAAGGTGTATATTTGCACAGATGAAGATCATGTAGTGCTGCCTCCGTGTTCAAATCATGCCTGGAGGAATGGAAAGGTGTTCGACTGAAGGTGGCAGGATTCCAACAAAAGCACGATATTCTGACATTGCATGTGCTGTAAGAGTTACAGGTCTCGTAGAGGCTGATGAGACTGGTACAGTGACCTCTCTCCCCAGGACTGTGGCAGAAGTGTCTCAGTATTGTGGGTTTGGTGCCTATAGGCTGTGCAAAGGTATGTAATGTGGTGTTCTCAATCCTGGATCTTGCCACACATGCTACTTAATCACACACTCTCCTTACATGAGTACGTGCATGATCTTCTCAAGGTTCTAAAAATAAATCTTGATCAAAACATCATTAATTGTTTTCTAATATGAGGAACAGAGTAGTTCCCTCATACCCTGGTCCCATAGAGCTGTCGCTTGGTTAGAATGGAATTCAGGAGATTCTCTGAAAAAGATGGGAACAGTAGTACGATGCCCATCATCATAAGGTCTTCATTTCATCTAACGGGGAAAGATCCTTCTTGGATGGCTACAGTAGCAGTCTCCTTTCTGCTTCAGTTCTGGTTGTGGAACCAGCATGTGGAATGTTCGTGACTGTTGAATAAATCATTTCATTTTCCACTCCAAACACAGATGTGTAAAAACCTTCGCATGCTTTCTGAAGGCTAAGTTAACATTACAGGAACATGCACTGTATGTGTATAATGTTTGAGTAGTGCGCAATTTCAGCTGGTTAGTATAGAACTGCAGAAATCGTATTAATAAAATTATTTAAATTTTTTTCAAAGATATTTGCTTTTAATGTCAGCAATGGATATAAAATAGGTTAATTTGAAATCAAGGACAACTCTTTTATAGTATAATTGTTTCAGCAGTATTCTTTTAATCACTTATGATGTGTTGATTATATTTCACTGAATAAAAAGGGGGATTCAACTTTAATTATGCCATTAGAACATGGAAATGTAAGTCGAGGAATCAAGAAGTACAGATTCCTGATCACATTTCCTCTGCAGGCAGTAGGACACAGAAGAAATTCAAACTTCCAGTAAGTAAAAACATTAATTATACTGTATACAGTACTGTGCAATGTGTTTTTTGGGGGCATTTAATTAGAATGTTTTGGAAGTTGCCTCCTTGAAAAATAAATTCAGAAATGAATTATGTTCCTTTTCTGAAACTGCCACTTTTAGTCCTATACAACATACTTCAGAGTGTCATTAAGGGTAGCCTGCAGATGGTCATTACTCACATATTTGTAAAATGATTCATTTTCTATTACAAGTGGTAAACCTGAGGAACATCAAACTATTTTTTTATTCTTTTGAGCCTTTATAATTTTATTTCTTCAACACAGAATATGCTGTGCTTATTTTGAAAACTTGATTTTAAATTGAGAATAACTGATTCTTTTTTTTATTTCATACCCAGTTGCTTTTGGGCTTGGCTCTCCGGCAGGAAACCCGCTCTGCAGAGGATGTGACGCATCTGTCAAGAGCGGTAGGACTGACAGGGAGCAGCACCTCTCTCACAGGTGCTCACTGAAAACTTTCAGGAACCCACGAGTCACAGGGTCACTGTGCACTGAAAGCTACACACAGGGTGATGACTTACTTATGCGCTGATGGCTGTGCGATGCTGAATTAAATTGCATAACAGGAGTGTGCTCTAAGATTTTTCTTGAACTGTATTTAGCTAGAACTTATGTTCTCTAGTGGAACTAATTGGAATGCAGAGAACTAAGAATCAATTATCATGTATAGTAAATGCTTTTATCAGGATTGAGGAAGATAAAGCTATGTACTGTACGTCTCTGGTGAGGCACTTCATCTTCTAATAGAGCTCTTGTAAACATATCGACAAGATGGAGGCCCCGATTTTGTAAATTCTGTGGTCAGAGAGCTTGCCTTGGCTCCCAGTCTCAGTGAATGTGTATAGTTCCATGAATGACACAGGAATGTTAATCTTATAGGTTTGTTAATCCCCCTCTGCGCACGCCTCTCCTTAACAACAGTGTGCTGTTTGTTTGCTGAAGCTTCCCAGTCTACTGTCTGTGTGCACACCTGCAGAGACCAGCACAGTGTGAGGGGGTTTGCAGAACACAAATAAGACATGGAAGAATTTAAGAAGCAGACATGAGGGCCTCCAGGTCCTGTTTCACATTCAGAACTACCAGGCAGGGCTGGCAGAGTCCGTCAAGTAAAATTCACTGAGCTGCATCTCCAGCTGTTTGTAGAGTTATAGTCAGGAGGACACAGACAGTGTTACAGGACAAGCAAAAATAAATATATTCATATGGAAAGAAGTGACACATTGCAAAGGTTTGATAAGCTAGAATATCGAGTGCTAGCAGTTTATTTTTTGGTGTGAATAAGTGTTTGTGTTTCTCTAACTTGTGCACGCAGTGGTGTTGATACCATGCGCGCTGTGATGCCTCGTGGGAAGGACACAAGCAGGACACGTGGAGCCGGGCAGGATCGGAAACAACAATGAGACCAGAGTGCAGCTAAAATAAAAAGGCACAGCATTGGAAATGACAGATCTAAAGAGCAGCTATTTGTTATAATGTCTATTTATCATGTCCAATAGAAAAATAGAAAAATCAGTTCTTAGATCCTGTTTGAGCATGACCTCACTTCTTCAGATTCCTGAACAAACCAAGCTGCTAAGCTACTTTGCAAAGAAATAACTTTCTGCTCACAGTTGCAACAAGGTTGCACTTCCTTTTATCCTGTTATTGTCTTCATTTTTAACACAGCACTCCAGTCCCAGGTACGAGACACTTCTTTCCAAGCTCGTTCTCTGCTGTGCAGCTGTGGTCACTTGTGCCCTGAGGTGTGTCCTTTTCCAGGTGTCTGTGTGAAAACTGGACCTGCTCCATTGCTGCACAGTCCAGGGGTTTATGTTTAGTCTGTCCTCTGACAGTGTTACATAATGATTTAGCCTTTTATAAAACTGTTTAAATCATGAACATAATAATACAATGGCAATACATTTTCATGTTCTTGTAATGTATGAACACATTAGCATGTTAATAAGCACTTTCTGCGACTGAAGAAACTTAAAGATTGTGAGGTCACAAAAAAGAGAGGTGCAAGCTCACTTTTGAACATGAGTGAAAGCTTGTGAACGTGCTGTCCCAATCTGAAACTAGTCATACATCTTTATTTGAGGAATTACTTCTGCTGAATGATGCAACCAGGGGGGACCGGTCAGCAGCACACAGGAGGGGAAGTTCAGGAGTGCCGTGTGTCTGAATTCACACATCCTCCCCAGGAAAAGGTTCTTTTGAAATTCACATGTGTACTTGAAAAATACATTTACAAATATTTTCTTAACTTTTTCTGACATTAAAAAGAAATATATTTATATATATATTATATCTTCTCTATAGCAGCAACAGAAATAACTCTAACAAAGTTTTTCAGCAAACTTCCTGTTTTATTAATTTATTAAATTAAAGCACAGCAAACTAGTGGAACACTCAAACATTGTGTGTACAGAGCCCCCAAAAGAGGGAGACAAATCATTGACTTGCAAAGGGAAGCCTGAAGAGATTTTCCTTCGGTTGCAGGTCTTTGCGCAGGGCGGTCCAGTGTGCCTGCAGGTTTTCATCCAGCTCGGCTCCTCAGGTTGGATAAGACATGATTACAGCATTACTGGAAGCTCACACAGGGCACTATAAATATTTTCTTTGCTATACAGTATGTTTGCCTGCAAATGGATCCCGCCAGGTGCTGAAACTTTGTTACAATAGGGAAATGTTTTTATATATACTGTACACCATGTATAGTAAATGTTTTCTTAAGGTATATACAAGCCCACAAATCATGTTCAGTGGTGCTTGAAATGTAGTAGACCACACAAGAATAAAACAAACACTACAAAGATAATTACAATTAAAATATTTCACTCTGCAGGAAATGCTTCTCCCTCTTGAGAAGCTGTGTGTAGTTTTGCAGTAAAAGATGGATGTTGCAGTAGTGTATTTATTCCGTCTAGGAGCTGTTAGTTAAGAGTCTAGTGACTGTCCTATGAAAATAAGTTAAGTGTTAGTTAGACTAGATCACTTCCCTGTATCATTTTCACTTTTGTAAAATGTTGTATTCTAAGTGGTAGATCCTAAAGGAGACAAGAAAAGTAGTTCAATTTTCTTTGTAATGGCAGGGAAATACTGACCAATAAATGGAAAATATTCAATTGTCTAACATGGTGATTAAAAAAAAAACTCTTTGAAGCAAGAATGAAATACAGAAATCCTAAATTTAGGATCGGAGAAGGTGCTGAACACATGTAGGGCTTAGGACACAATGGGAGTGAATTTCAAACCTTTGACAAGGTTCCCCTCAACTCATTGTTCAACACGCAGTTGTGGGATTGAATGCTGCCCCAAGACGGACATGACACAATGGGAGGACAGTGAACAGACTTCAGCATCACAGTGAGTGAAAATATACAATTCCTTGCATTAGGATTTTAACTTTTCACCTACCCCAACTTGCTCTCCATGAGACACACAGACAGGAAGAAAAGCTGGGGGTCAGAGCGCAGCGTCAGCCATTGTACAGCGCCCCTGGAGCAGCTGAGGTTAAGGGCCTTGCTCAGGGGCCCCACAGAATAGGATTGCTCTGCCAACTGCAGGATCTGAACCGACACCTTTCCAGTCACAGATGTAGATCCTTAGCTACAGTGCCACCGCTCCACCCAAGTGGACCGGAGAGTCCTGTCTGTGCTGGACAGTGAGTGGAGTGTCCTGTCTGTGCTGGACAGTGAGTGGAGTGTCCTGTCTGTGCTGGACAGTG